ATAATACCTACAGAGGAAGGAGGGGGGGGGGGCAAGGTGCGAAACGAAGAAATGCATTTATTGAGACTTAGAGAGAACTTCTTATAATAAGTAATGTCCCCTTCCCAGTTGTTGGCGTTTGCCAGCAAAATGTCGGTATAATATTATAGGGATCTCAAAATTATAGGGGAAACCTTTTCTTACACTTACCCATTGGATTTTGTGTTAAAGATCACGAAGCAGATGTACATAACATAGAAGGGTATTTTATTCGTCACAAAGGGCACACTGTATGTGTCACATCAGAATGAGAAATGGGTATTATGTTTGATCGGAGTACTTTTTATAATGGGACTATGAACATCTTTTTCAAAGAAAAGTGGAACTTAAACGAGAGGGCATTACCCCCCTCGGGCCACTTCCTCGTTCTGTCGACGTTGCCGTCGAAGCGAGGAGGACCAGTGAGGCTTTGCAGATGCAAAATGATTTCTATATTGTGATTAACGAGACTGATGTCTTCGCAGATTTATAGCATTTCGGGGCACTATATAGAAACTGTAGAAATCGGAGATATTGCGACATGCTCTCGACTCTCATACCAGAGACCCTGGATTAAATTCTTGCTCGGTACTTGTATCCTTGGAGAAGGTGTTTTACCCATAATTATATTACTTTGCCCCTCTCGACCCAGGTGCTTATTACATTTACATGCTGCGGGAAATAGTAATGGCAGGGCCCTCGGAAAGAGTATTATTAGTATACTCTTGAGACTATCTTTGGTAGATAATAAATTATGCTAGATAATGGACACAAAGAAGAAGAAGAAGAAGAAGAAGAAGAAGAAGAAGAAGAAGAAGAAGAAGAAGAAGAAGAAGAAGGAAAAGAAGAATGAGAAGAAGAAGAAGAAGAAGAAGAAGAAGAAGAAGAAGAAGAAGGAGAAGAAGAATGAGAAGAAGAAGAAGAAGAAGAAGAAGAAGAAGAAGAAGAAGAAGAAGAAGAAAACCGGTACGCTACAAAATATACCTAGAAATATAAAGATCGTCCTGATAACTCTTCCCAGTTTAAAAAGTTCTCACCAAAGGGGTTGGATCCTATAATGGAAGGGGGCGTCAGCAATAGGCCTATATAGTCCGGCGCCGGGCGAAGGGTGCGTGTGAGGGTGTGGGGGGGGGGGGGGGCTGGCTGGTAGTCCACAGTGGATCATTTAAAATCTAATCTCATGCCGTTTAGTATACTAATTAATTAGATAAGTTTTTTTTTTTTTTTAATTTTAATTTTATTTATGTTTTTATTAAGAAATCAAATCATAACATATACAAACTATCCCCAAAAATACAAATGCTGTGTTACAAAAGAAATTAATGACAAATTAAGATATTTACAAACGATTGAGATGATCTTGGGGGGGGGGGGAGGCAGAGTACACGTAATAGAAATAATTAGAATACAAGTACAAAAGCAAGAACCTCGAGATAGCATTGCATCAGAAACTGAATATTTTGTTGGGCCCAAAATGAAGAAAAAGGAGTAAAAATAAGCCATCCACAGGTACAATGGAAACTCCGGACCACCAACAGGTTGGAGGAGCAAAGTCGAGGAATGAGACAATCCGCTTTACCACCCCCCCCCTCACACACACACACACCATTAACACTCTCATACTAACACTCAAACACACAACCGCCCCTCCCCCCTCCCCCACCCCCAACACACACAATCCACACGCAACATTCGGGTAAGACAGATCGCCTCACACCCCGACCCCGCCCACTCCAGACACCCAGTCGGCGAATTGCGCAGACAGAGCGTGGGGAAATCAACTGAAGTGATAAAAATACAACGCATTCCTGAATAGGCAATAAGGAAACACGCGTAAACTGACCCAATTCCAATCGAGGTTATTGTTCATGTTACACAGTGGCACTGCATGGCGTACTGGTGGGGGGGCTAGGGGGGGGCGCCAGCCCCCCCAAATAAAATGAAACCATGACTTAATTTTAATTCCTTACAGGTGATTTATAAATGTTCGTGATAATAACATGATTTTCAACAAAATGTGCGTTTTTCCATTTCTGTTGCAAACTGACACATTCGCAAATAGCAATTTTTTTAATAGTCATTAGTGGCCACTAACAGTAACACTAGTTGAAACTTTCCAGAAGCTATACTGCGACAAGCACTGCCGGGAGATAACATGCTACCCACCACTCGGGCTGTGCATGCACAGATTTGCGAACGATCGTTCCATATACGTACATGTACATCAGTGGGAAACTGAATCCAGACAAGGATTAACGGTACAACGAATCGCCTTCTTTCTCTAATAATTAAATGAAACGTCAAAGCTTCCGCGCTTCGCGCGGAAGGGCGGGGGGGGGGGGGGAGGGAACTGAATTCAGACAAGGACACGATACAATGAATCGTCTTTTGTCTCTAATAATTTAATGGAACGTAATGGAACATGAGCGAAAATGATTTTAGACAAGGATTAAGAGTAATAATTAAATGAAACGTAAAAGCTTCCGCGCTACGCGCGATATGAGCGAAAATGATTTTAGACAAGGATTAAGAGTAATAATTAAATGAAACGTCAAAGGGGGACGGGACTGAATTGAGACAAGGACACGCTACAGTTAATCGTCTATTTTCTCTAATAATTGAATGAAACGTGATAGCTTCCGCGCTTCGCGCGGGAGGGGGGGGGGGACACTGAATTCAGACAAGGACACGGTACAACGAATCGCCATCTTTCTCTAATAAACGTGAAAGCTTCCGCGCTTCCCGCGGGATGGGCGAAAATGAATTCAGACAAGGATTAAGAGTAATAATTTATTGAAACGTCAAAGCTTCCACGCTTCGCGCGGGAGGGGGGGGGGTGGGGAACTGAATTCAGACAATTAGGACACGATACAATAAATCATCTTCTTTCTCTAATAATTTAATGAAACGTGATAGCTTCCGCGCTTCGCGCGGGATGGGCGAAAATGAATTCAGACAAGGATTAAGAGTAATAATTTATTGAAACGTCAAAGCTTCCACGCTTCGCGCGGGAGGGGGCGAACTGAATTCAGGCAAGGATTAAGAGTCGAGAACGGTACAATGAATCGTCTTCTTTCTTTAATATTGTAATGAAACGTCATAGCTTCTGCGCTTCTCGCGGGAGGGGCGGGCAAAACAAGAAAAGTCGAGAACGGTATAACCGATCGTCTCCTTCCTCTAATAATTTAATGAAGTGTCACAGATTCCGCGCTTCGCGCGGGAGGGAAAAACTGAAAAATAACTACTTAGTTCCTGGCCCCGGGTTTATAGGCTTAAATTAGTAGACATTGGGGCAATGGTGTTAATATATTTGTCGGTAATTGGTGGCTAGTTTTGTCAGTTAGCGGTGGCCTCTACAACCCTCCCCCCCCCCCCCCCTGAACGTCTAACCAATCAGAAGGCCTCTTTTTTCCAGGAAGTGCCGGTGAACATTAATGCGCCAAATATGGTTCTCAAATTGCAAAAGATCTCTTGGAGGGGGGAGGAGAAAGCAATTTTACGTCATATTACTCCAGGAAGTGCCTGATGCGTCTAATGTGGTTCTAAAATTGCAACTGCTTCCTACTCGGGGAGGGGGTCAGAACCCCCTCCCAGACCCACCCCCGCTTAGTCGCTCCGCTCCCTCGCCGCTAAAGCCTCGCTCTGTCGCTTTATCGTTTATATATATTTAACCCCATGCCATTTTGTGCCCCCCCCCCGGTAAGAAATTCCTGGAACCGCCACTGTTTTTCCATACCCCTTGAGCTTCGGGGCTCCGCCCCTTGACCCCCGCCGGGGCTTTACCCTTAGACCTCACTTTGACAAACGTTCAGCCCCCCCAAACGTTTTTGCTCATTACGCCACTGCACAGTGGCAATGTGATTTGTAAACAAAAATTATATGCACACACGTAATGTAAACTTATTTGACTATGGGAAATAACTAACAGCAATGTAAAAGGGGAAAAGAAAAAAAAAAGAGGTTGGAGTAACAATAAATACTTGTATCTCTGTAAAGGGGCACAGGAATATGTACAGAAGTAAACATGGGAGTACAAAAGACAAAATATTACATAACAAGATCACTGTAAGATCATATTAAAAACAAAGAGGAAAAAAGAAAGGTCTATATATTATATGATGACACAAAAGCTTAAAGGTTAAAACGCCATTTTTTTTAAAGTGACTAGGCAATTTACTTCTCTTTTTGGCTGACAGATATTCCGATTCTTTTTGTTTCTTAACCAGTGATTTGAACGCTGTGAAATTTGGGAGCATATTTCTAAACTTGCATGAATAAATATGATATTTCAATAATTAGATAAGTTGATGACACCATTTATGGGAACTTGTTCTACTTTATAATACAATTGTTCTTATCGGTCTATATACTTTGTTCGCACTCTCTTGTGAATCAAGAGGGAGTTATATTGTATGGCACGAGTTTAAAACTAGTCTGCGTTGACTATGCCTCTGTGTGAATACAAACATAACGGGTTATAGTCAGGTATTCGGGTAAGGAGAGAAATTACATAAGAGGAGAGGATAGAAGAATAAAGAATGGAAAAGAGAAGAATGGGAGGGGGCTGGAAAGTCATTATGCGGGCTAGTGACGTCAGCACCTCGGCGAAAACGCCCGTCCCGCATCCTCCGATCCTATGAGGTCGACATTGTCCGAATATTGATAGTTTCAAAATTGGCGGAGGAGGAATTGTCTGTAAATCGGGTACCTGCCCCCTCCCCTTCTTTATAAGCTGCGCCTATGATCATTTTCATAAAGCAAGAAAATCTATCAGGAAAGCTAAAGCAAGAAAATCTATCAGGAAAGCTAAAGCAAGAAAATCTATCAGGAAAGCTACATGTGTTTTGCGATTGGTGGGGAACCCCCTGCTCAGAGCGATATGACGTTGATATTCAAGAATGCTAACTGTCGACGTGTATGGCTTCTTTCTTCTTAATTCGAGCGCCATCTCGGACTTATTACACAGGCAGCTCTTTCACACGATCGTATGATTGTGTGTGATTTGTGTGTGCGTTTCCTGCATGCGCTGCTAATGTTCGATAGGACTGCTTCTGTTCAGAACCAAGCAGTGTGCATTCTTCCCGCACGGTCATTTTGGTATTGCTGGGAATTGGCGTTTTTGTGTGCTGTATGTGTATTGAGTGCACAAAATACACCTGTGCTGCTGGATCTGGATTCGCATATTTTGTGATAGACTCTGCCTGTCGGAAATGAGCTAGGACATTTATTCCAACAAGTTTAAATCATCATGGAGCCAGGAAAATACCCGCTGCTTTGACAAGTATGATGTCTTTAGACGAGTTTTCGGAACGTGTGCTACGTGGAACCTGCAAACATAACGGGAAGATATTAGGAGCAAGTCAACAAATGTGGATGGGTGTGTGTGTATGTTGTGGATTGCTCGGTAAATACAATGCAGTCAGCTGCTGGAAAATGAAGTAGACGAATGTCAACTTCGATACACATTGACTGTGTCAAGGATAATGGAATGAATTTATGAAGTATGAGGAATAGGATTATTATTATTATTATTACAAATTTATTGCCAATTTACTCTCTATCTTCCAATTAACATGGCGCAAAACCATGAATTAAGCACCTCGCCCCTGGCAGGTGGTGGGCAGGTTTCACTGACGAGAACGCTTTCAGGGGGCAGTGAGAGCACTAACCACAGTCTAAATCATGGTGTTCTTCCTGTTACAAGTCTATGCACAGCAATGCATGACTATGAATCTACGGCAGACGATGAGCTGACCATTCACAGGGGCGACCTGGTAGAAATAATCTCCAAAGATCACGCCGTTTCTGGCGATGACGGATGGTGGATGGGGAAAGTCGGTGACCAACAAGGGATATTTCCAAATAATTATGTCAGTGATTCACAGTTCATTCTCGAAAAGGAAATTAATTACGGAGTTAACGAAATTGATTTCAACGAAATTCAGCTGAATGAGCTGATCGGTGTGGGCGGTTTTGGCAAGGTATTCCGCGGCTCATGGAGAGGAGAGGAGGTCGCTGTGAAAGCCGCAAAACACGATCCAGAGGAAGATGATAATGTGCGGTCAACTATTGATAACGTCAGACAGGAGGCAAAACTCTTCAGTTTATTATCGCATCCCAACATTATATCACTCCGAGGGGCGTGTCTTAGGGAACCTCATGTGTGTATAGTTATGGAATATGCAAGGGGCGGCTCGCTGAACAGATTACTCTTCGGGAAGAAGATGGCTATGCCGCCAAACGTTCTAGTAAACTGGGCTTACCAAATTGCCGATGGCATGAACTACCTCCACTGGGAAGCTCCAATCCCTCTCATCCATAGGGATCTCAAGTCTAGCAATAGTAAGTATGAACCCTCTCCCTTCCTTAGAAAAGATAACAACAAAACAAAACAACAAACTTCAAATAGACAAATCCTAACCTTTGCTTTGAAGCAACAAATCGTATAATTTGTCACACAACAGTTGTCAAACTTCTTCCAAGTTTGAAAATAGGGGAGCCAATCGACAGTTATCACATTTAAGAAACTTGTGACCACCCTTGTCAAGAGAATTGTTAATTAAAAATAAAAGAAGAAAAACTCATAATAATGTCACAATAGTTTCTGATAAAAAAAAGATGTGATTCTGCCTGTCTGATATTTGGGGATGCAGGAATGATCTTACTTTGCTGCAAACCACTGCATACACATGTACACTGTACATGTGTACATTGTAATTTTATATGTATTTCTTATCCCTTTTATAGTTCAAGGTAATAAATACATGTGTAAGTAATAAGTGCCTGTTTTTTACCCATGTAGTACATTGTATTAGTACTTGAATGGGTCCCCGGTACATACAGACATTAATCCTGCTGCAGAGGGGCATATACATGTGTAAGTAATTATACTTGAAACCCAACATCAAGGTAAATCAAGGTAAACACATTTTAATTAACTCTTGAAGAGATGCATACCGTACATTTAGGACAAGGACACTTTGTATACCGGTATGTGCTGCTACACTCTACATGTTTACCTGTATTACAGTACTTGCAGGAGAAGAGGACTGGCTGGCTAGAGTTAAATTAATGTAACTCAATGTACATGTATTTGTATATTGCCCTGGCATGGGATTTGAATGAATTTGAACGTATTAATTAATGCTGCAAAGGAGAAGGTGCGAGGATGAAGGAAAAGTTCAGTGACTTGATATCAAATTATCAAAGTTGTGTTGCATATTATTTCAGATAATTCACATTTGAAATAATTGGATATAAATTTGATATCATTATCTGATGTCACAAGGAGGTGGGTCGTCCATTATATTAGCATAGTGTTTCGGTTAATTATTCTATTTTGAACATGGGTTCAGATTAAATGGACTCCAGACTACATGTGTACATGGCCCACTTAAAGCCAGTGAGCAGTGAATGAGCAGTTTTATTTGTTTATGAAAAGAGGTGTGACAGACCATTAAGCCTAAGGTCAAAATATAACTGGTTAGGATTAAATATATTTAGATTATAGAAGGCAAATTGTAATCACAATATTGCATGATGGGTCTATGATTTCCAATAATGTGTTGGCCTTATTACTTTATATAAGGAGACAATTGTTATAAATACAGTATACATAGGTAAACTATACAAGTAGGCCTGACTTATCCTTGTCTAGATATTTAGACAAAAAATCTAATGAGCTGCATACAAAAAATACTAATTCAAACTTGCTACACTCTATGTACATAATAATAATGAGTATGAGTTCATATAAAGTGAAATGTGTTGATCTGTCTGACACAGATTTGATGTGACGTATTATGAATGCAGCGTTGGAAGAAAGTAAGAGGAGTCCTCCCATAAACAAGGATTACAGATTGGCAATCCATCACTGGTGGTGTAGTGATTAGTAACAGCTGATGGATACAGGCTTTTTTTAGTTGACCTGAATATGACCTTACTACCAAACATTTCCAGCTGTACATACTTGCCTTCTCCAGTGTCATTGTACTCTTTTTATCCATAACAGGAATTCAGTCACATGTGCCAACAATATATCCACTAGTACATAGCTTCATGCCATGCTTTTATGCCTACATGTACATGGACAAATTTAGAAAATATATTATTTTAAAAAAATGTACAAAGATTTGTATATAATAAATATGGTAGGATTATTCCTTGAAATGCACTGTGTGCTGAAAACAGAGCTCTGCCAGAGCTAAAGCTAGGGTAATAATTTTGAAAGCATTTGGATATTATAATGTGCTATACAAGAACGTCATTAAAAATAATGATACTTGATAAACGTACACTGTACATGAACGCCCTGAATATACTGGGTCTTGTAAATGTACCAATCACCTAAATCTAGTTTAGCTTATATTAAGCTAGAATGTATACAAATTAACCTGAATTTTTTTACCTGGCAATGCAGGTTTCTATAGGTTAAAAGTTAAGAGATAAATGAATAAAAATAAAATAGAGGGTAACCTAAAACTGCGCGTACAGAACCCAAGTCGGACTTGAGTTATGTTCATACCCTGTTCTATACAAGCGCGTAAACGTGTGTCAACTAGTCAACCAGTCATTTTACTGTATTTTGAGAGTAAAATTATCCAGCAATCTCTTTGTTAAGTAATATTTGAAGCTGATATTTTGAATATAGTAAAGTGATATGGAAACTCCTACGTGAACAGTTAAGATCAAAACATTATCTTTTGATAATTGGGACACTTTAACAACAATTAACGTCTGATATTTTTTTTATTTGTCCATCCGAAGGACCTACATGTAAAAAAACATAGAACATTTCTTATAGTTGATGCTGATTGCTGAAGATGGTGAAAGGGAGATTCAAGTTATTTTGCCTGCTGAAAGCCCAGACAAACAGTTTGTGAGAGGTTGATGATTTGTATACAATTGTTATTGTTCCATGTAAAGGGGATGATATTTATTTTTAGAACTGAAAAACATTATATTGATTTTTAGAACTGAAAAACATTGATAGTTGATAGATACATGTACATGTACCGGTATCTACATTAGTTCAGACGATGTACCATATTAGATTTACAAATACCGGTACAGTGTATGTGTACTTGTGTAACCTAAATTAATAGTAGATCTATGTCTACATGTACATGTACATTCATTATATGTTGTACCCATTTTGTCAATAATGTTTTATTTACATTTTTAGGATTACAGACTAATTAATATTATATATTTCATTTTGCATCATAACATTCATTCAAAATCAGATATTCTACAAGGTAATATTCATTTTTATCACTTTAAAAACAATCCGTTTACATAGCAAAATAGCATTAATAGCCTTATATACTGTAAGTAAGTAAGTATGTGCAAACATTGTAGTGTTTTAATGCTAACTGTATGTGTGGTCGCCAATCAAGCGTAATAATGTATGAATTTGAGGCTGCAGAAGTTGTACAGGGCATGCATTACTCCGAGAGTGGAAGTGGTTTGTGTGCTTGCTTAGCTGTATTGTGCGATCAATACAGACCTGTAATGGGTGGCAAATAACAAGGTCTGGCTCTGTTATGCCAGCGTGGTTTCTCCACAAAGTCATTCCCGTTTGGCAATAAGGCACAAATTGAACAATCCATGAACCTGCCTTGCAGTCTGATAATATAAAATGCTTTAATAGTTTCAACCCTATCATATTGCAGAGGTTGGCGTCAAGAAATTGCCTGCTATGAAGCTCAATGTTTGATATAATATATTTCCTTCCAACATACAATTTTGAGCCTGTTAGACATTGGGGGACATTTTGGGTTGAACTATAATACTACTTCATGCATGGCCAGAGATTTGCAAGATGTCCTTGTACTTTGGTAATACAACCCACATCTTATTTATTCAGCTATTTAAAGTCTCTTGTTATTTTTGTAGTTCGATGTCTTACATATTGAATGCAATACTGTGTGTTCTGTGTAGTAATACGTCGGGACATCGTAAGGTACATAAAGCACACACAAAATGGAACTGACATGCTTACATATATGTGTGTGTGTGGTAGTTTGCATAATTTGTAAATTATTGTACCGTGCACCGTGTTGTGAAAGAGATTTCTATACTGAATAAGATAATTGCTTTGTTTATTAAAAATCCCATTTTCCAAACTGTAAATGAACAGAAGTTTAGAAATAAAAATTAGTCACTATAACTCAAGTGGAATATTTCAAACCTTTGTTGTCAGACAACTTGTAATTTACCGATATTCATATTTACATGTAGTTCCCCTCTCCTCAGTCCCATCTATTCAAAAAGAAGATAAAAAAGAGGCACCTTTTGGAGGCACCTTTTTCTCCAAGACCAACTAAAAAACCAGGAATCCAGGACAATTATACAGTACATTTATATGAAACACTCTTTTAACGATAAACTTTTCTGTATTAAATACACTGATCGTTGGATATAATACTCTTTTACTTTTGCATACTATTACTGTATTAGCAAAGATCTATAAAAGTATACCTGATATTGCAGTTATATAGTCAGAAATCAAACCAAGTTTTGCTACAGGTAAATACAAGTACTGTATACTTGTATAGTAGGCATACTATTGTTTGCGAAAGAACCTTAAGGGATGTGGAAAATTTTTAGATATTTTGGAAAGGTCTGATTTGTATACCGGTAGTACTTTATTGTTGGTTCATAGTTGATAGCTCAATACAGTAGTTCAACTATAGTTTGTTTACTGTAGTATAAATTTGCATAATGCTGCAACAAAGCTTTTGTCCTGCAAACAGGTTATACTTTGATTGACAGACACCTTTCTGCATGGATAGAGAAGGATGGAGGGGGTCAGAGCAACATTAGAGGGGAGAAGGGGGAGAGAGGGGAAAGAGGGAGGGGGTAGGAAGTAGAGAAAGAGGGGGGGGGGGTGAGAAAGGAGGGGGGGGAGAGAAAAGAGGGAGAGAGGGAGGGGGTAAGAAGGAGAGAGGGAGAGAGAGGGAGGAAGCAAGCTGCTATCAATATGCTATTAACAAGTACAGGTCAAGTGCTTCCCACATATGCATGAATAAAATACATGTACATGTACATATGTACAGTTTGTATGTAGGCCTAAATGTCCCTCAGTAAGTCTCCCACTCTCTATTCAACTTCATGCTTAGACATTCAGTCTCCTTCTAGCATTAGCTTGAACCTTCCAATGGATTCAACCAAAATCTGCGGAGAGAAGGGATTATGGGTAGAGAAGATCAAGTCTGTAATTTGATTTCTGTGTTTACCTTCTCAGGGCAGAGTAGGAATAGAATGGCTCGGAAACAGGGCAGCAGTTGAAATGTAAATTGACCTTTTAGAGTTTATTATAAATGTTTTCAATATGTTAA